TGTAAATTTTCCTTAATATAGTAAAAAATAAAAACCGCAGTGGTGAATAAATACCACCAAAAGAAAGCTCTATCTGTCCCCAAAAAAGGGTATAAAATTCATTTCAGTACAGCGTTGCATGACGGAATAAATGTCAGTCAAAGTACCGCAGTGCTGAATACTGAAAAATGGCCTGAATGGGAAGGGGGTTTAACACACCAGACTTCAAGTGGTTAAAACGGACCGTTACCCCCTTTCTCTAAAAAATCACAGTCGCATGCAGCTCTGCATGCTGATACAAAATCATCTTACATTTATTAGTTAAACTTGTTTTTCATTTACTTACAAATAGTGTTAATGTACTTCCTGGTCCTCTTTGGCATTAGATGTGCCTAAGCGTTGTGAAGTGTACATCAGCAGAGCATTGCTGGGAAATCTCATCTGTAATCTCATGAGGTCTCAGGGAAAGGCATTTTCCTCCCCTGAGATGATGTGCATGGTCACATGTCCTAGTAGCATGTGCTGAAGTTCCAGGAAGTAAAAGGAGAGTTAGTAACCTGCCCTTAGTTAACATGGCCACTGTGAGGAGAATGGGGAGGAGAAGAAAAATGAGGTATGCAAAGAATACAAAGCCGGCAATTATCTAGTATGTGTTTGTAGATTGTCATTACTAAACATTTCTAAAGGTGACTTTTTGTTATTTTAAAGATATGGGTAAAGGTCCGCTTTATGTAGTCTATAGAGATTTTATTTCCTGAGCTGTGGGTTAAAGGGTAGAAATCATCATCATCAATTTTTAATACTTGCAAAATTCTACTCCTAAAAGGCCACGAGAAGAAAAAATAAACGGCTTGTGGACAGTATAAAGGTGAAAAAAAACACTTAATATTTTTCTGTTCGTTTTCTGTGATTAGGGTACAGCAAACCAAACCTCATCGTCTTTGTTTAATCCCTGAAATTACAACCAAAAAAATTGCAAACATGAACAAAGGCCTTTCATCTCCCTGAAATCAGATTCTCTGCTCAATGTACCACAGTAATGAACAGTGTTTATCTGTAAATAATGGAAAATTACATTATCTGCAGTTTGCTTTTTCTGGGAATAGAGATTTTGATATTGCGTTTGTGGATTTAAAAACTAGTGCTAACATTGTTATCAACATTGTAATTGATTTTGCGATTCAGAAACTTTACATAAATACAAGTTAATGAAGTGCTCAAATATTGCAGTTAAATATAAATATCTTGTTTGATAATGATAGCTGCTGGACATGGAAACATATAAAATAGTAGACCCGGTCTGAGCTTTGACATCATTTCTAATTGCAGAGCTGTTCAGATCTCTATAACCTATTAACTCTGTTACCTTGGTGTTATTTGCTAATATGCCGATTAGCTGATCTCCTGCGCCCAAAATACATTGCTTGTGGCCCTTTAGGGCCTGTTCACATGATATCAGGTGCGGATCTGCAGACACGGTGCTACTGATGCAGTGCGTTTTTGCCGCGTTTTTTATGCGTTCCAGTATGTCAGCTGCAGTGCGTTTTTGACGCGTTTTGCGTTTCCGGTCCGTTTCAAGACCAGACAAAATGTGACATACAGTATTTTTTCTGTCTGAATGGACTGCGCACGTGAGAACTGTAGCCCATAAAACACATAGGGATACATTGGGATGCATTTTTAGTGCAGTGCATGACGGATCAGGTCAGCACAGAAAATGGACGTCGTGTGAACAGGCCCAAAGGAAACCTGGCATGGTAAATACATGGAACCTGCTGCTGCTCCCTTCTAAAAATACTAGTTGTCTGACTGTGAGGCTGACCCTCTTCCATCATTGCTTTGAGTCACTGACCTGGAACAAGTTGGCAGCTAAGGACTTTCAGCTTTCTTTAACTTTACTAATTTTAAATTCTTGTCCCAGGTTAGGGACTTAAAGAATTACAAATTAACCCTTGCAGTGGAGCTACCCTATCACTGCAAGGGTTATGTGCTAGTTATGGTCTAGGGCAGTGATGGCTAACATTTTTGAACCCGAGTGCCCAAACTGCAGTGCAAAATTAATTTATCTTAAAGTGCCAACATTGAAAATAAGTTTGGTATTGCATTGCAGTTTGGGCACTGGGATTTAGACAAAATAGGGAAACGCACACATTCAAACCTTTATACACTCAGTAAAACTCACATTGCACACGCATTAAAACACGCACACATCACACATTAAAAGCACACACATATCTTCATTAAAAAACACATCACTCACACTCATTAATAAACACACACTCAATAAAACATACACACAACTATTAACAATAAAAATTAATAATTAAAAATCTGCCCCCTCTTATGCTTACCTTTTTTGCAGTGAGGGGGCTGCATCCCTGGGGTCCAGTGAGCAGCACCACCACGTGGGGTCATCGGTATGGTCTACATCAGCAAGAGATGCAGATCATGTGCTGATTCTCATTTAATATATTGTTGGTTCGGCAATATATTAAATAGGATCTGGGCACCTGTCAGGTTTAAAGACATCTTTAAAAACTTAATGTCACTTGGAGACCTGTGGAACACCAGAGGCCCATGCGGAGCAGTCCAGGCCAGGTGAGAACCTGGAGTGTGTGGGCCCCAGCAACCGGCACCTTGGCTCTCATGCCACCAGAGGGGCCTCTGTGTGGCATGCGTGCCATAGGTTCGCCATCACTGGCAGGATCAGGTGAGGATATATTTTTTTTCTGTTAACCTACACCACAAAGAGCACCTAACCCTTGTAGTGCAAGGGTAGCCCCACTGCAAGGGTTGATTTGCAATTTGCCAGGAGCAAGTGTCCTTCTTCTTCTCCTCCTTCTCCTTCTCCTTCTCCTTCTCCTTCTCCTTCTCCTCACATGTACTATACACACAACTCATGAAAAGGAATCATTTTTGTGGAGGTAGTACTATGTCAAAATACACAACTGCCAGGCTTGTCATTGTTGGCCCACACCAGTAGGTCATGTACTTATGTTATTCTAAAAGTTAAGCTGTAAATAACACTTAGTAGAGTTCTTCTTGATTGTACATACACTATATTGCCAAAAGTATTGGGACACCCCTTCAAATTATTGGATTCAGGTGTTCCAATCACCTCCATGGCCACAGTTGTATAAACTCAAGCACATAGGCATGCAGATTGCTTCTACAAACATTTGTGATAGAATGGATAAGGTGCAATAAGTCCGTCCGTGAAAGTTCCTTGCTACTAAATATTCCACGGTCACCTGTTAGTGGTATTATAACAAAGTGGAAGCAACTGTGAACAACAGCAACTCAGTCACGAAGTAGTAGGCCACGTTCATGTGCGTGTAAAGGCAGGCGTCCCAATACTTTTGGCAATATGGTGTATGTTACAGCAAACCTGTGCTTGCCTTTTACATACAAAAGCAAAAATTTCCCAGCACACTCACCAGCCAGCCTGCAAAAAATACACCAACTGTTAGGTTAAAAACAGAGGTTTTAGTTGCATAACCTTTGCAAAATATGTGGAAGCCGCACTGCCTCATCAAGGTCCCTCTGTGTAGTGAGGTCCTAACTCTAATCTACGAGAGCTTCAATCTTGGAGCATATGTATATCAAAGGATGAATGGGGTGCAGGTTCACCAGGAGGTAGCCCAAACCTCCTTAAAGGTACAGGGACACACCAGAAGCCACCCACATCACAACGGCAGCTGAAGACCCCAGTGTGTCCCCACACCAAATCCAACAAGCAAAACAAATGGCAAATACATTAATTTCCTTCCAGTCAGTCCATCTTTTTACCTTTTTAGTACATTGTAATCTATAGGGCTAAGGGTTGCCAATTTCCGGGGCAGAGAAGGTGAAGAGACAGGAGCCATACAGCCCAATGCCCACCACAGATAAACAATTAATGCTGTCACTTTAAGTGTAGTATTCAGTTTAAAGTAGTATGAAACTCAAACGTTTTTCAGTAATGAATCCTGATGATACAAATATACATTGTCCAGCAAATTATTTCTTTACATCTTTGTCCAAACACTCAGTCATGTTTCATTGCAGTGTGGACACAGACGGCTATAAAAACCTAAGAAAGATTCTAAATAAAAAAAGGTTTTGTGTTTTAAAATGGTTTTTTTTTTTTTTTTTTTTTTTTTTATTGAAGCGTTCTTTTTAACATGTTCCTGGGTGAAATTTTTTTATTTCTTCAAAGTTTTTGTATTGGTTGACTGATGCAATGGATGCCTTCACATTACACTGCTGACAATCTGTATACAGCCAGAGGCTTGAGGAACTGAATCTTGCTCACAAAGCTTGCTGCTCTGTACTTCCTGAGTAAATAACAGACTCCAATATTTCTCTGGTCATGGAGCATTTCGTGCACATACAGTCAGGGCAGCCATCAGAAATTTTGGGGCCCCTTACACGGCTTTAACAACGTCACTTCCGGCCAGTCCGACATTAGAGGAGCAGCATCGCTGATGGGGGGCCCTAGCTTGTCTCGAAGCCGCTGGAGCGGCAATGCTGGGGCCCTGCGCTGCTAGGGCCAGGCCTCCACCTCCTCGCCCTTCACCGCCGGCCGATAGTCATGCAAGGGACCCGGGTGGGCCCCCCTGGCTGCCCGGGCCTCTTACATGAGTATTGGCCGTACCCCCCCTGATGGCTGCCCTACATACAGTATAGGGGAGAGATGGACCATGTCACCCTCAGGCTTTTCCACTTTTTTTTTTTTTTTTAGATCACTAATATCCATTTGTGTCCTCATCTGCAATGTGTCTGAATTGCTGCTCCTATCAGACAGGGCCTGTCACTTTAGCATCTGTGCTTCTCTAATGGCTGAGGACATCCAAAACAGTGAACCACATCCCCATGTTGTAGCTCCTTTCGCATCTCAACAAGCCCTTATAACATTTCTAATAATTTCATTCTAATAATGATCTGTGCTTTTTTTTTTCTCTATAGGGATTGAAGCCACTTGTAAATGTATGTTTTATCCATGATGGCTGACCATCATCCTCCACCACTGGAAAACACCCCACTACTAACAACTGACATTCCTCTGCTTCCAACACCCATTGTCAATGGAGAAGGTGGCCAGCAGGTATGACCTGATAGCCTAGAAGTGATTTACAGCTGTACATTAGAATTGTAGACCTAGATTGCTGTGATAGATGTGGAGGCAGACCTATATTCTAAAATTTTGACCTTCATTTGCATGTTTATATGAGTAATTGACGAACATTTATCCTATTTACACTGACTCTAGGGCTGCAACCAACTAATCGATTATGAGAATAGTTGTCAACTATTCTCATTATGGTTTAGTTGGTTGGATCCCTTAGCTCTCTCCTCCAGGCTGGGAGGAAGGCACAGCAAGCAGTTGGCTGGTGCAATAGCCAGCCATCTATTGGCTATAGCAAATTGAAAGGGCCAATAGCAGGCTGTCTATTGCACCAGCCCACTGCCTGCTGTACTTACATTCAGCTGCTGCCTGTGGATTCTTGCCAATGGTGGCTGTCATTGCCTGGCTGAAGCTATTCAAGCGCAATGTGCTTACACTACTACAATTATTTTAAACAAATTATAAAAGGTGAGAAAAGTAATTTTCGGCCTAACAAATTCTGCGGCGGGAGGTGCGTTGCAGTGCCATTCATTTCAATGGCACCCCAAACAATCCTCCCACCCACAGTGTGATTGCCCGCACTGGACTACACGGTACCGCAATGCCATGCGTTCCAGTGCAGTGCAATTGCAAAAAATTGTGCATGCAGTTTTATTCCAAAGTAAACATTGTAACACTGCATTTGTGTATCTTATTGTAAATTTTATAGATGGTATTTGATTTTTTTTTTTTTTTATCTGATTAATTGAAAAAATAACCGGCCATCTAATCGATAATAAAAATAATCATTATTTGCAGCCCTAACTGACTCTGTCTCTATGCCTCCGCTGTAAAGAAAAGCATTAATACTTACCAGCCCCGTGACCACACAACCTATCTTTACTCTCTGGAAGACCTAAGGTGATGGAAGTAATTTCTGTATCTGACCCACTTCTGGGTGGTCCGATGCCTGATTCCCCCACATCGCTATGTTTCCTCTGCTGTCTCCTAAGTCACTGCAGACCATAGTACATAACTCTTACAGTTTCCCTTTAAGTACGTAGGCATCGTATTCTCTTGCATTTTAGACAAATTATTTTAGTTTAGTGTGGCAAGAGTCCTTGTATCTGGTGCAGACTCTGTGTACTAATAATGTCAGGTAAAATGTTAAGTGTTGCTATGATGGTTTTCGGTTATTTTTTATTTTACAAATCTGTAATACTTAATAAAGGATTCCCAGAGCAGTATGCCAGAAATATGGCACAGTGGTCATTGCCTTTCAGGAAGGTTGTCTGCTTTAGAAAACTCAGCGGAAGCCATGCTGAAAGGGATGGACTACTGCTCTGACTCAATTACTTGTGGGATTTAGGGCCCATTCACACCAATTGCTGGAACGCACAGCATTCACTCACAAAACTTCCCCCTTCGTTCTGGGGTGGGGTGGGGGGGGGTGTGGCGGTGCATTGAGGTCAATGGCACTGCTATACCCCTCCCCCCATCTGCAGTGCGATCAGATGCGTGGTAAAACATTGCCTGCGTTCTGGTCCACTGCAAATGCAAAAAATGCTGCATGCTCGGTTTTTTTGTCTTTGCAGTGGAACGGAACGCAAGCAAAGTTTTGCTACGCGTCCGATCACACTGCGGGCGGGGGGCGTGGAAGCGGTGCCATTGAAGTCAATGCACCGCCACGCCCCCTCCCACCCCAGAATGCAGAGGGAAGTTTTGTGAGGGATTGCGGTGCTTTCCAGCAGCTATCGCTCACGAAACAGTATGGGAGCGGTTTTCTGCTCTGGAACGCAGCGCATTTGGTGTGTACAACAGCTTGGAAAAATACATATGGATCATGTGTGAGTGATCTCATTTATATGCCCTGTGTTGCCTAGCCAGTATCGGCCTTCCTCGCTGTTTCCAGTGTTCATATACATAGATAGCATCTTGAGACATGGGTGACACGGGGCAATAAGCAGCAAGGTTCTGTCCTTGTAATAAAGCAATTTTCTTCACATGCTGTATTGTGCTGGCAGTTTATTCCGGCTCATGTTTGACCAAGTTTACAATCTAATTTGTTGATAGAGAAGTGACGTGCAAGGTATCACAAATTGCATAAAAGGAGAAGCAGTTCCAGTTTTCCTGATTTGTGATTCAAGGCTTTATTGTATATTAAAAGATAAATAGATCAGGCTGTGTTCACCTGCTATGTCCAATTTCTGTCACTGGGATGTAACAAGCCGAGCCAGCCAAGCAGCATGGATTTCTCATGCAGAGGTCTCATCTTATCTTTGGTTTTTTTAATGAAAACTTGAAGGCATTTTGTAAATGGAGAAGCAGAGAGGAGGCAGGCAAAGTGATGCAACTGCTCAAGTTGTATTCCTCACTCTCCGCAATGCCTGAAAGCTGAGTGTTCTATGCAGGGGGCGGCATGCTGCACTGTGTGCCTTGCAATGAGTTAATCATTATTTTTCCCCAAGTTGGGCTTTAAAGGAAACCTGTTATGAGAGAAAATGGAGGCCATCACTACTGAGCTTTCCTCCTGAAAATGCCTGCCTGTCATGCTAATCCTCTTGCTTTGAGTCGGTGACCTCAAACAGTTATGCACTATTTCTGACAGTCCTTTTTAGCCTCATCTGCAACAGTAAACAATAAAAATGTGTGTGTGTGTGTGTGTGTGTGTGTGTGTGTGTGTGTGTGTGTGTGTGTGTGTGTGTGTGTATATAAAAAATATATATATATTTTTTTTTTTTTAAATTAAGTTACTATACTGTATTATAATATTATTATTACTATATATAGAAGGATATCGATATATATTACAAGTTTGTGTTTGTGTATTTGGGCTTCTTAGGTGTGTGTATGAGTTGCATTGTATTATTGAACAGAATGGCATGGATGTTTTTCGCTGTTGTTGCTATGGTAATAAGCATATCAGTGTTACCACCCTATAGTTCAACTTAGGTGTGCTTTTGTCTTTTCATGGCTTTCGCTTGTTTTCCATGCTTTGTGCTTGCTGCGTTTCTATTTGAAAAGGTGATAAAGACCTCGTCATGCGTCTGTAAAATAACAATTTGTGATTTGCTCATTCCATTGCATGTACAATAGTAATGTATAATTCCTCATTTGAGTTTTTACTTGTAACTGTATTGTAAAAAATGTAAGTTCACTCCATATTATTGCTTTTTTTGTGTGTTTTAATCTTTTATAGATTTCTCTCCTGTGCCTTCATTCTTCTGTTTTAATTGACATTCGGGAGGCAAGGGAGGTAATGTTTGCAGATTTTGAACTGATTTATGTGACCACCCACTTTATTTGTGAAACCGCGTGATCACACATCCTTTCTCCCTCTCTCTTCCTCAGGTTGTCTATTACATGTCATACATCTTAAAAGAAAGGATTGATCACAGAATTAAAGTAGAACTCTGGCTTTAAAAGAAAACAAATATTGGTCCAGCTTACCTAAGTGTAGGCTATGAATACAAGGCATTCTCTGATTGGACAAGGAAGGTGACGTCTCTTATTTTTAAGCCTGGAGTTCTGCTTTAATTGTTCCAGAATTGTTTAATGTGACACTAAACTCGAGTTAAACCTTTAAAAATGAAGTTCTTTAACTATTACCAAAGCAAAAGTAGTCACCCTCCAGAAGAAAGGACAGTGTCAGCACCAATTCAGAGATTTGAGGATCTACAGCCGCGTGATACACAAATAAGATACATTTTTGGTAATAGTTAAGGGACTTTGAATGCATTTTTCAGATTTAACTCCTGAGTTTAGTGTCACTTTAACTTATAAAGAAACATATGACACAACAAATAAAAACATCAGTCTGGTTCAAATAATTTTAGTTTTTGCAAACGGAACAACTATTACTTTTGAATAACAATATTACGTTCACCATACTCGCTATTTGTAATTTTGTTGCAAAGATTCTTAAAGTGTATTTCCACTTTTGCAGTCAAATTGGGATAACACCTATTTTATATTTATTACGTTCGATGTTCTCATCCACATAGCATAACATAAAAAAAAAGGTAAAAAATTGCCACTTACATATTACATGCTCGATTCTGAAAGAAAAGGTGTTCTCTGTACTGAGTTTTGCTTTGGAATGCAAGCGGGGCTGGGCAGATTAATGCTAGCATAGGTAACCCTGTCTGTACTGTGCTGGGAGATCTCATTATTAGTTGTAAACTAGATTCAAACACTGCCGGTCCTAACAAAAGGTTAAAGCTTTAGAAGCATTGCATGTTAGTGAGAGGAAGCTCAGTCTGTACCTAGTCTTTCTATGGGGACAGCCAGAGTTATCTCTCACATTGAAATTGAGAGAGGAGCTTGCAAAGGTCTGCTACACAGACGCATCTAAAAGGTAAGAAATATACACTGAGTGGCCAGATTATTATGACCACCTGACGTTTGTAAGCAAATTGGCTATAATTAGCTATAATTTTGCGCTGAAGTTGCTAGAGGGCCAGACCATTATAAATAGGGAAGCAGGTTGTTTACCACGACAGTAGAAGTGATTTTTTTTCTGAAGATATGGGTAAACAACGCGATTTAACAGCCTTTGAACGTGGGATGATTGTTGGCGCTCGGAGCCATGGAGCGAGTATCAGCAAAACAGCAGAATTCGTTAAATGTTCAAGAGCAGCTGTTGTTAAAGTGTTTAAAGACTGGACTGTCAGCCAAAAATCTGGGTCTGAACGTGCGAGTTGTGGCCGTCAGCGACTAGTCAATGTTAGGGCAGAACGGAGAGTGGCAAGACTGGTACAAGATAACAGAAGGGCAACAGTGCAGTGTCAGATTCCTCGCATCACCTTTCAACATCTCGTGGAGTCACGAGGCGGCCCAACGAAGTCATCTCGTGGCCCAACGAAGTACTGATGGGGTGGTCATAATAATCTGGCCACTCAGTGTATATATTTTTTTAGTTACCATTGCGGCACTGTATCCGATGCGATTGCTCAGGGTTCATCACATTGATGGCTCATTACTTATTTCCTGGTATGATG